ATCCTAGAAATGGCAACCGAATCTTTAATAAAGTTCATGAAAATAGTTCTAAACGAAATCGGTGGTGAAAATTTTAGAACTTTTCCAGATTCTCTTTACCTAGCGAAAAAAGTACTTGGCCTAAAAGACCGATTTCAGAGATTTGTTCCATATACAAAATGCCACAAACTCTATAATAAACAGGATGTAGAAAACTTTCGTTAAAATGAGAGTTTATCGGTTATGAAATGCCACCATATCGAGTTCCTAAACTTGTCTCGCTGAGGTACACGCACTTGCGACACACTTTTATCACGACAAATCGATGTTTCAAGAGTTCAAGCCAAATCAATATACCTATTTGCTAGATTTCGACAACAACTTTCTGATATGTTTTGTCAACCTGAATTCGAGAAATCCCTCTGACATTGGGCAAATCGATTAAATTCGGATAATATTTTATCTGATATTTATAATGGACGAATATGGAAAGAATTCAAAGATACAAACAATGATGATTCATTAAATTTTTTCTGAAATGAGGTTGCCGACTCGCATCTTGGCCTCATGTTGAATGTTGACTGGTTTCAACCATTCGATGGAACTAATCATAGTACCGGAACCATTTATGCAGTTATCTGTAATTTTCTGCGTAATATACAATTTAAGCGAGAAAACTTGCTGCTCCTTGGAATGCTACCAGGTCCGAACGAAGTGAGTCTACATAAAATTAATCATTACCTTGCACCAATCGTTAATGAGGACATCCCTCTGGGAAGGGATTATTCTAAATCGAACATACGAGCATCAGTTACGAAAAAAAATTCGTGCAGCGTTGATAATGATATCATGCGATATACCCGCTACGAGAAAACTTGTGGGCACGTTTCTGCATTGGTTTTTTACCACCGATGCCAGAAAAAGGCAAATTATGAAAATCATCAGCATAATTTTGCTGGAATGGGAGATATGGAGGATTGGTTTGTTGCCAGGGATTCAAACGAACATCTCCAAAACGCACTTGACTGGCGATGGTGTAATTCGGACACATCAAGAAAGAGATTCGTTAAACAGACTGGAGTAAGATGGTCAGAACTACTTCGCTTGCCTTATTTCGACCCAATTCGTTTCACTATCATTGATCCAATGCATTGTCTATTTTTAGGCATTGCAAAATGGATTGTAAAGCGAATTTGAGTCGATCAGGGAATCTTAACTTCAAGTATGCTCAATGAAGTTCAAAAACAAATGAATCAATTTCAAGTTCCGGTCAATTTGGATCGAATTCCTGGCAAAATCAACTGCGGGGAAGGATTTCTAACTTCACTGCTGACCAGTGGCGAAATATTTTCACAATTTATGCCACAGTATCGCTTTGGGACCATCTCTCAGCTGAAGATAGAAAAATTCTGATTCATTTTGTCAGAATTTGTTCGATATTGGTAAGTCAGATTATAGAATCTGACATGTTGCAGGAAGCTCATAGACGATTTGTTAAAATAATAAAGCTCATTAAGGTACAATACGGCAGGAATAAAATTACGCCAAATCTACATCTCTCGCTTCATTTGTCTGAATGTTGTCATAATTTTGGCCCATTGTATGCGTTCTGGTGTTTTTCATTCGAACACATGAATGGAATACTCGGTAAGATACACTGGCCTTTATTATTATTATTATTATTATTATTATTATTATTATTGGTTTTAAATTTTCTTTTAAATACAACCCTTAGGATTATTACCGAACAGTAACAGAAAAATTGAACTAGAACTAATGCGTCGATTAATGAATGATAACCGAATCAGAGATATCATTACTTCTAGCGCTCAGATGAAAGGTCTTAAATTACTCAAAAATCATCCTACCATTGGATCACTATCAGAAAATGACCAATTCGCTTCAGATGAAATGGAAAGGTTTTGGCTAAATTCAAAAAATATCCAGGAATCTACTGTTACTGGATGCGAAGCGTTTCCTGGTGAAATGTTAAGACCTACTTCTGAAAATGTAGTATTATCACAATTGATGCTCGATTTAATGATCAATTATTATATTGCTACATATGAAATGTATAATTTCTGAAAACCATCTGATGCTATAGAGCAAGATGCGATAACTATTCGTGTAAAAATGGATAAATTTGGAAGATGTCATATTGGATCTGAGGTGTTTGGCTCCGCGTTGTCATTTTGACACATAAAAAGTTCATATGTATTAGCCAAATTCATAACGACTGATGGAGAAGTCGATCGTTATCCTGGACAAGTCCAGTATTATTTCAAGCATGAAATTGACTTGCCAAATGGACCTACTGAGCATTATTTGGCTTTTATTAGGTGGTACCGACCAGCAAACACAGCAAATATTCGGTATCATTTTAGTATTGATGATACCGAAGAAACGGAAACATGCAATGTTGAATTATGGAAAACAGATTTTTTTCCTGAAAGTAGGGATTGTATTATTCCAGTACACAACATTCTTTGCCGATTTGTGCCCGCTAAATATAAAATTTCTTCTAACCGCAATGCAACTGAATATTTAGCGATAAATCCATTAAATCGCAAGTTTCACATTCGGTAATTTACTAAAAGCTACAGAATTTTTCTTTACAATAATTGTTTAACGAATTTTATGGAATTGGTTATTTAATAATAAATAATACGAATAAATTGATTTACAATAAAATTTGACGAATCTTTAACTTTAGTGTTTTCTTATTTTACTTATATGTCATTATTATTTATTGATATTAATTAAAATTAATTAAAAAATTGGTTAAAAATCGTCAAAAAAGTTTTAAGTCGATCGTTGTTATTAATAAAAATCGATAAAAAAGAAATATTGGTCGATTTATGGTTTTTTTTATGTTACAGCTCAACTAAAAATCGACCAAAAATCGACCAGTTGATTTATGCCGAAATTTTTCTGAATTTTGTAATTAGCCGAATGTGTGATGAGTCACATGACGACGATGACGAAAAAGGTATTAATGCCGAAAGAAATGATTTTGACCAGTGCCTCTAACTGCAATATGTCATGTTATACATGTATAATATTAAGAGATGAGTTTAATAACCCATTAATTGATCACTCAACAATTTAATTACGCACTCCAATAATAATGCAAAATGTATTAAATAATGGTGATACTACAAAATATTCGCTCCATAACATGAAAAATATTTTTTGGACATTACCATAAGTATTATCATTCAAATTTAATTGTGTGATATTATTATATAATTATCTTTAATATATATTTATTATCTAGGCAACTTAATATATATCAGGCTTATATGCCTGATAGAATGCATCACCTGGATCTGAGTTTATATAAATATCAAGTTGAATATACACGAGATTTATTGGCAGAATAGTGTAGCTCAGATGGTGTAATAGAATTTGATGATAGATTGGCAAAAATTCCACATTTTTCAGGATTTAAATTATTTAAACATGGGCTCAGTAATATTAAAAGATTTATGGCTGAAGAATTTCGATCAATGATATGACAACTTGTATTTATTGTTGATGGTATCATTATTAAACTTCACAAGTCTAATTATACAACACATCAAGCTGATAATATGGACAAACAGTTGGTTAATTTATATATCAATTAGAACCAAATATATATCTTTTTATATAAAGATGAATTTACAGAATTAGATCTAGAAATTTTTAAGGTACAGTATATAATAATAAAACTTATATATATTTGATGGTATCACTTATAATTAATTGGGTAAAAGGGTTTATAAAATTATTATCACCATATTCACCATCACAAATGCAGTTACTAAAACTACACAATTGGATATATCACATTATTGCTGCAATTAAAGAACATGACGCTATTAATGGTTTTATGACCATAAGTTATAAGTTGTTTATTTAATTCTATTATTGCTTATTTATATAATATTTACATATAATTTAAACTAACTAAATACTTTATTTAAAAAATTATTTAATTTCTTTTAGATGGTAAGTTGTTTATTTAATTCTATTATTACTTATTTATATAATATTTACATATAATTTAAACTAATTAAATTCTTTATTTAAAAAATTCTTTAGGCATTCTGGGCAATACCTTTAAAAATATTTTCATCCTTTACTTCTGTTACACCAATAGTTTTTGCAGTTTAGAATAAGTCTATTGTGAAATCAGCTGGTCAAGTTATAAGTTGTTTATTTAATTCTATATTACTTATTTATATAATATTTGCATATAATTTAAGCTAACTAAATTCTTAGAAATTAAGAAAATTGGGAATTTGTAATTGGATTTAAAAAATGTATCACGTGAAAATATTTTTAATTATGTGTCAAATCATAATTTTGTAATGCTTTCAAATGCTAAGAAAAAAATTACCATATTTATTTTTAATAAAACAATATAAATAAAAAAATAATAATAATAAATAAAAAAGATAAGTAAATTACAATGATCAACGTATGAATCACTGCATAAAAAATGGGTCAAAAATCCATATAGAATAAGTAATCGATGTAATGCAATATTACAAATGCTAAATACAGTAAGTTATCACCCAAATTAATAGTTACTATAATATTATAATACTGATGATTAATAATTTTAAGTATGAAGGCAGAATATAATCAATTACTTATTTCAATTTTCAAAGCCAGTTGGATTTAATGCTAAACGAAATTTTCACTTTTGAATTATTATCACTTGATAAATTTGTTTCATCATATCAAAATACAACTACTTTAGCACCAAAAGCATTGGAGGTATTTGATCAATTTTTAATAACTTTAGATAAATTCTTTGATCTAATCAATTTGGCAGAATTTGTTACAATCCATTTAATTGTATCTGTTAAATAGTATAGATCCGTGGTGATATCTAGTGGGAATATGGTTCATGCAAATTCTAATTGGTATAGTCAACCTATTTTTGATAATATTTTGATTAATATCATGGATAGTAGCGAAATTGAAGATTACACTACATATGATGGATTGTGTTTTGAGAAAGTAAGTTTTTACAACAATTATAAATTTTTTATAATTACAAAATCTAATTAAGTTTATGATAGGTATTAATGTTATGTTCAATCAAGATTTTTTTATTTAACGAAGCATTTTATTTAGCATTAGTAAGGTGGTATGATTATAAATACAAAAATAGGCTGAATTTATATGATTGTTCATAGATAAACCTTACTTCTCAATATGAATTTATATCAGTAGATTCAGTTGTAGAATAATATCACGATTTGAAAAGAACAATAAATATTTGGTCAATACTTTTATGTTTTAATTTCTAGGAAATGACATTAAAAATTGTGTAAAACCAATATACAAGCATAGTCAATGTATATATAATAAACATCACAATGTATATAAAATTTAACAATGTTAAAATGTATATTATTAAATAATGTATTGATAGTGATGCATTATTAATGAATATTACCGAAATAATGGCAAACATTTGGATGTGATATACATTATGATGCACAACAGTCATTTGACTTCCTGATGTATTGGATCAAATAATAAGGGCTTAAGATCATATAGATCATAAAAAAGAAGTTGTTAATTATTATATTTTTACTAAAAGCACTTTTGTTAAAAAGATTAGATTTTTATTTATTATTAATATTTTATAAAGATCCAGTTTACTTATAATAAAGGTCACTATAGAAAATTGGCTCTTTACTAATAGTTTTTACCTTACTTTTTTTTAAAATTTTATTGGTTAATTAGCTAAAAAGAAAAAAAATCATAACAATGTATTAACATAAAATTTTTTTTATAATAGAATCTGTAAAGAATTTTTATATAATTTTTATCTTAGACCTGAAGGTGACCTATCGTATAAGTAAGTAGAATTCTGTTTCATGTCAAATAATCCAGAAGGTTTTGTGATTATCAACAGGATTGTTGTTGAAATTATTGTATAATATCTATTATTTTACATATATTATTATTTTTTATATTAAACTTACTTATTACCTTAACTAGAAATAATATTTATTTTATTAGGATTAATTGGAAAGTATTAATTAGAATGTATAAATAAAAAGAATGTATTAATAAAATAGAGAAATGTATTAAATATAAGAAATATATTAATAGAATACAATAATGTTAATAATAATTAACTAATAAAATCCCATGATTAATTTTTTAAACATGTGATATTTGAGGCCTAGTGATATATTGCCATAGCAATAAAAAATAAAACCCTATTAATAACTATTAATAAGTTATTAATTGGTTACCAATTAGCTATTTAATTGGTAATCTATTAATAGTTATAATAAAATCCATTATTAATACCTCAAATGTGGATTTAATGTGAATTTGATTTCTACTTTGTTCAAATAATATTTGAAGGCAAATCAAATATTGTAACTACCTAAAATTTTATTTTAAACAATTTAAAATTAGCAAGTCACATGAATAAAAGATTTGTCACATGATTTGTTACTTATCACGTGATAATTTCCGTGATTTGGTTTCACATTGTAAACAAGTAGTAGAACAAAAATTAATACATAATCGGGTTTCGTTAAAAATCGCAATATCGACTAGCACGCACATCATTCATAGTGCTATACAATAAAACAACACATAAATTTTATAGAATAACAATATCACGTAAAATGACTCAACGAAATAGGTTGCCACAGTTCGATCTATATCACTATGAACGTCCAGCTACGGTGTCGCGATTTGATTCAATTCGTCAGTCTTTAGTTAACGAACTAATAGCAAAAAATTATAGTGACTTTTCTGGTTTAACATCAAAGGAACTTTCTCAATTTATTGGTCAATTTCAAAAGTTCCAAGAAGAAGCTTTAGGTCGTAATGCACCACGAACAAATACTCCTCACCCCACAAAGATTCCAGCAAAATTATTTAAATTAGATCCTGCACTCACCACAAAATCTCCTGTTTTCCATATTCTCCGCGCTGCTTATGAATTTCGTGCATCAAAAAAATGGAGAAGGTGGGACTGGAATAATATGAAAGAAATGGTTGAAATGGTATCACATGTAAGAGATTATTTGATTGAGGAAGGGATCATTAAGAATCCTATAGTTAAGTTGGGAGAGTCAGTTGAGGGTATAAGGAGACAAGAATTAATTGAGCAAGTTAATTTGTTAAGAGGTAAGTCGTTGATCATTTTATATCAATTACTTTTTCTGTGGCTTAGTTGCCGCGAATTTGATTGACAAATAAATTTAAAAATTTCTTAATCATAGGACAAATAACTCATGATAAAGAAAGTGCAACGCATGTTATTCATTATACAAATGATAACGATGATACAGACGAAGAATGGTTTAGAACTTTGGAAAAAAAATCTGGTAGAGTGCTTGTACACTGGTGGTATTATCCAGATTCTTATGATATGTGGTTGGAGGAAACTGCGGAGCACGCTGATCCAGAACCAATGCCTGAACACAAAGGACCGTGGAATGTTAGTGAACGCTGGCTCACGGATAGTGTTATGTTTAATGAATGGATGAACGAAGAAGACTATGAAATTTCGGATACGTCAGACTTTAGAAGGATACCTGCTGGTGAAGACCAATCCGGTATTTCAGAGTCTGAAATTTTACCGGTTCATAAACGTAATTTAGATTCAATGGATTCTCCCTTGCAAATGGATATTGATGCAAGACCAACTGTAGGTGCTAAACGTGCAAGAATAAGATCTCCTGAACGTGACCCCTTACCCGAACACTCGAGCGTGTCTCTTGTTGACATAGAAATGGAAGCAAATCGCGTAGGTGGTCGTTCAAAAAAGAACGAACTTGATCCTATTACTGGTGGAGAAATTGCCAACATTTCTCAATCAATCCCCGTTGACACTCGTATCGAAGCTCCACAGGATTTTGGTGAAGATACTGAAGCTATAGAAGATAATACGGAAATGGATAATATAACCTCAGATTTGAATGACATACGTATACCCAATGATAACCACAGTAAGTTATTCTATTTCTATGTATTAAAAAAAAATGTTTATACATAAATGATAAATCTCTTTTGATTTATAAAGATATGGATGTTGATATGTTAGAGCAGGAACAAACTGAACATGTTGGTGATAATAATTCTCCTAAACATAATGCAAATTCTCCTGCAGTTGTAAAAGAAGTTGATGAAGACGAACATATGGGAACCCCAGAAGACACCACTAAGCAGCAAGATGATGCTATTAATGACACTTTACCTGAATCTGTGCTTCCTTCAGATGTGGTTGCCGCAAATGCTGAAGAAGAAAAGAAACGAATTGAAGAAGAAGCTCGTAAATATTTATCCCAACAAACACAAGAAATTATAATTCCTTCTTATGCTGCATGGTTCGATATGGCAAAAATTCATAGTATAGAACAAAAATCTTTGCCCGAATTTTTTAATAATAGGAATAAATCTAAAACTCCGAGTATTTATAAAGAATATAGGGATTTTATAATAAATACATATCGTCTAAATCCTGGTGAATATTTAACAGTTACAGCGTGTCGAAGGAATTTAGCTGGAGATGTCTGTGCTATTATTCGAATTCATGCTTTTTTGGAACAATGGGGTTTAATTAATTATCAAGTAAGCTTGATTTTTTTTTTTGTTCTTTTATTTTTAAGATTTAAATCTTTAATTCATAATTTACATACAGGTTGATCCAGATACTCGACCTTCATCTGTCGGGCCACCTTTTACTGGGCATTTCCGGATTTCAGCAGATACTCCAAGAGGTCTTCAACCCTTTCAACCATCTACCACATCCTTACCAGCATCAAATTCTTCTGTTGCTTCTGCCGCCGCTAATGCTAGTGCTTCTGATACTTCTATAAATGTCAAAATGGAAAGACCGATTAGTATACGTCAAAATATATATCAATCAACAATAAACATCGACGTAGGCTCGCAAATTTCTCAAGATGACAATGCAAGTGTCGGAGTTGACGGAGGAGTAACCGAACCACGTCAATACAATTGTGATACTTGTGGAGTCGATTGTACTCGTGTGCGTTATCATAGCCTGAAAACTCCGAACGTCGAACTATGTTCGAATTGTTATTTAGAAGGAAGATATCCTACTACGATGTACAGTGGAGACTTTTTGAAAATGGATGATACACCATTTAAGCATGCTCAAGATGATGATTGGTCAGATCAAGAGAAGTATGCACTCCTTGAAGGTGTTGAAATGTTCGAGGATGACTGGCATAAGATTGCTGAACACGTCGGAACACGTACAAGAGAACAATGTATTTTACAATTTTTAGAATTTCCGATTGAGGATCCTCTTAGTAATGTTAAAATGTCAGATTTGGGCCCATTACAATATCAGCGTATACCATTTAGTCAAGCAGATAATCCTATTATGTCAGTGGTAGCATTCTTAGCTTCTGTCGTTAATCCCGGTGTAGCGGCTGCAGCTGCCAAATCAGCATTAAAGGAATTATCGTCACCAAAAAATTCTGATAAGTCTAAAGAGATTAATGGAATCAATGGAAAAGCTGAGCCCGCAGAAACTTCTGGAAGTACTCCGCCTATTGAAATTAAACAAGAAGATGTCATGGACACAGAAGAAGGAACAAGTGATTCGAAATTGGAAGCAGCACAGTCTTCTAATACAGCAACAGCAACAGCAACAGCAACAGCAACAGCAGCAACAACCACAGCAACAGCAACAACCACAGCAACAGAATCAGCTACTGATACAACTGTTGATCGACCAAAATTATTAGAGAGAGCTGGTGCTACAGCAATGGGATCCGCAGCTGCTAAAGCTAAAGTTCTCGCGGATTATGAAGAACGAGAAATACAGCGCCTAGTTAATGCTGTCATTGAAAATCAATTAAAAAAGCTTGAACTTAAGCTTCAACAATTTGAGGAATTAGAAATTGTACTTGAAAATGAGAAAAAGGATCTAGAGAAACAACGACAGTTATTATTCAACGAAAGATTGACACTTAAAAAGAATAGTTTGGCTATGCAGGAACAGTTGAGGCATTCACAAGCTAGTGGGTCAAAGCAACCATTAAGTGGTGGTTTTTTTAACTCAAATGGTAATACTCGGATTATAACCAATGCAGAATATCAACAGCAGCAAATACAACAAAATACGTCCGTTAGGCCATTGGGACAAGAAGAAGGAGACAATGATCCTGTTGTGATGAATCTTTAGGTTTGTAGATCTTATGAAAATTCGACATTACAAACCTATATGTCTAAATTTTGCATTTTTGGAAAGTGGGCATAATTTACCGTATTTCTCATTTTTTGTCTATACTAAAACTTATTATATTCACTATAGATTGCGTTTATGCATTCTCATCCATTCATTAGTTATTATAATTGCTTTTAATTTGTTTTTTAGAACCTTTTTTTTTTATAACTTATCACAGAAATTCGTATGGATAAAATGTATATAATGAAAATAAATATAATATAAAATTTTGATATTTTATAAGAGTGGCATTTTTGATTAATTGAAATTATTAATAATTAAAAAAAAAATGAAAACTTTACTTATTTATTATAAACTTATATAGAATATAGAATTTTTCTAACTATCACTGGGGGTGATGATCACCGGTAACTGAAATTATGACGATCGACTAGCATTAAAAAAATATAGTGCCGGTAAAAATTGATAATTCTGGCCAACGGTGATGATCACCCCCGGTGACTTGAAGTAAAAAACTAGAATGAATAGAATATATTCTATAAATGTCCCATATATAATATACATAAGCTCTATAATTTTAAAACAAAAGGTAAACAAATCTTTAAATAATAACTTATTGGTTCTAATTAGTAATCAATAATTTATTATATAAAAATAAACTATTTGACTTAAATAATTATAATATTTTTTTCTTTGGTTTTTATATTTTAAAAATAACAAGTAAAATTATATCAGTAAATATAATTATATAAATAAAATTTTAAGTATTACTACTGGTGATTGTTACTTTATCAAAATTAGGATAGAACTCTAGGTAGAATTAAAAATGTTATAAAATTCTACTTGCTAATGCTGGTATAAGAATTAATTGTAATATAAAAAATGTTTTATTATTTATATTTATTAGTTATATTTATTATTATTAGTGCTGTGATTTCCTTTATTTTGAAAATAAGACTTTTTGTTAAAAATAATCTGCTTCATATATGATCTACCCATTTGCATAATTGATTAAATAACCATTATTTGAAAAAACAACTAAAAGGTATTAAACAAGTTTTTAAAGAATACAACCTTTGGCCAATAAAAGGAATTTGAACAATGCTCTAAATAATGTAATGATATATATATATATATATAGTATATATAAATATATTTCAATAGTACATATATAAGATACTCTAATAGTATTATAAGTGAATTATTAATTATATTAGAATAGTTTTGTAATTATAATATAGTTAGACATAGTAAAATAAAAAATAAAGATTTTTGCAGTTAACCTTTATAATTATATACTCTTTAAAATTGTATGTATAATTTTCAAAATAATGTATTTATAGAAAATATGTATTTATAAAAGTAAAATAATTAAAATAATTAAAAATCATATAAACTTAAAATTAAACTAACAAGTGTATTTAAAGAGATATATATAGTAAATACAATTACGATGAAAAGTGCATTTATAGAAAGTTGACTATAAAAAAATTATAAGTTATAATTAGTTATAAATAGAATAATTAGTATAATTTTAAAAGACTTTTTTGACTTTTATTTTCTAAATTAAGTAATAATATGAAATAAAATAAATAATTACAATATATAAATAATAAACTATTTTTTTAATTTTTTTTATTATTTTTTATAAAAAATTTTTTAAAAGTAAAATTGCAAAGATTTGTAAAATTATTTTTTGATAATTATTGTCCATAATTATAAAAAACATATGTGACAGGACCCCAAAAGGCCCCAAAGAATACATATAATATTGGGATCCAATTTTGTATAAACTTACTATGTAATTTCTTAATAAGTCATATGTTTGAAATTGTATAACCAAATAACAGTTATGCAAAAAGTCAGATTTTTATTTGTATAACAATAATGATTTTTGATTTTCATTTTGTATAATGGATATTTTTTTTTATATACATTTAAAATTTTTAAAGTTTTTTTTTTATTTTTTGTTTAAGAAATTTTTAAGATATTTTTTAATAAAGAGTTTTTTTATTTGTTTTAAAAAACACTTGAAATATTTTTTAATAGAAATTGTTTTTTATTTGAGAACATTTTTTTAATTAAAATAAAGAAATTTTTTTAAAATTCATTTACAAAATTAAAAAAAATTCATTTTATTACATATCTTGGCATTTAGTAATCATAGAAAATGAAACACAGCTTATTAGATTCGTCTCAATACGATGAGTCAAATGGTGGTAGTTTCATATTTCTAGGCATGATAGATGCCGAGTTATGTGATAAAATGGAAAAATGCACAGTAGATGAAAATACAAAGTGCCGATGTGTGGTATAGCTCAACATCTATCAGACCTAAAAACATGAAACTACTACCATTCAATTCGTCTTGTCAAGATGAATCCAACAAGCTGTGTTTCATCTTTTTACGATCACTGGGTGGTAAGATATATAATAAAATGTATTTTCTTTTATTTAGTAATATACATACAAATTTTTGCATAAAACTTACTATATTATATATATTGGGCATCAATATCTATAAGGTATTTAAAATTTTAACATGCAATTTTGTTTAAAAATTTTATTTAAGTTATTTTTTAATAATTTTTTTTAAAAAAATTTTTTAAGTATTTATTTGTTAGAATTTTTAAATAGTTTTTAATAATATTTATTAAAATTTTCAATGAAATTTATTTGAAATTTTTCTTTAAAAATTTTTTTTTTTATATAAACTTAGATTTATAATTGTATAATTTATAATAAAATTTGAACTTATGTGATGATTTTGTATAAAGCTTCTAATAAAATTAGATGTATAAAGTTATATTAAAATTTTGGGTCTGGATTTAAATTGTATATGTTGTGTCTCAGATCGATTCTTGCCTCAGATTGAAGCTCACGCACCTCACATTGAGATTGTCACCTGACGCACCTCATTTGAATCATTCAATAAAGTCTGTTATAAGTAAACTTTTTTTCTCATTAATTAAACCACTTTTTGTAACATAAACAAACTTGTGTACCATAATGAGGTCTCTTATACACATCT